TTTGTGCGGTGCCCGCTGCTCCCTGCTCTTCCTCTGGAGCTGCCCGGTGGCAGTTCGGAGTCACACCTGAGTTAGAATTTTGCTGCCTCTCACTGTCTAGCTGGGTGGCCTGGAACAAGTCAGTCCACACCCCTGAGCGTCAGTGTTCACATCTGTAGTCTGGGGGTGATGGTTTCTCTCCTGGAGTCAGCCCGTGTGCGCTTAGTATCCAGCGCCCAGCAGCTCTCAGCAGTGTCTGCCAAGTGTGTGGATGGATGGACCGATGAATAAGCCCCCCTGTCCCCCCTTTAACGACTCCCTTGCCCTCTCCCCAGGCCTGCCAAGCAGCTATTGACCAAATCGAGAAGCGGAATGAAACCTTCAAGGCTGCGGTGCAGGGCCCCGAGGGAGCCGCCCAGGGCCAGGAGGTAAGGAAGACTTAGTGTTCCTCCTGGAGCCGCCAGCCTCCCCAGGCAGCTCCGAGGGCGGGGATGTCACCCAGGAGTGATTTGAAAGGACCGGGGAAGCCCACCCACCCCAGCAGCACCCTGTCAGAGACTCAGTACCAGAGGTTCCCACCAGCAAACAATCCCCTTGGCGGCCTCCAGGCCCCTAGCCCCAGGGAGGCCTCAGTCTCCTCCAGGCACCTAGCCCCAGGGAGGCCTCAGTCTCCTCCAGGCACCTAGCCCCAGGGAGGCCTCAGTCTCCTCCAGGCACCTAGCCCCAGGGAGGCCTCAGTCTCCTCCAGGCACCTAGCCCCAGGGAGGCCTCAGTCTCCTCCAGGCACCTAGCCCCAGGGAGGCCTCAGTCTCCTCCAGGCACCTAGCCCCAGGGAGGCCTCAGTCTCCTCCAGGCACCTAGCCCCAGGGAGGCCTCAGTCTCCTCCAGGCACCTAGCCCCAGGGAGGCCTCAGTCTCCTCCAGGCACCTAGCCCCAGGGAGGCCTCAGTCTCCTCCAGGCACCTAGCCCCAGGGAGGCCTCAGTCTCCTCCAGGCACAGGCAGGAGGGGTGGGTCAGGGAGAGGGTGACTCCTTTCAGACCTGAGCTCTGAACGCTGGCTTGCTGGGGGGCTGTGCGGAGTCACTAGACCGCTCTGGGCCTCGGTTTGCTCACCTGTGAAATGGAACGATAGTAACTGAGCTGCCCTGTGGCCTCGCCTGTTCAGCCCGCTCCCCGGGGGTGAGGCACTGGGAAGCCCACACAAATCTCACCGAGCAGGTGGGCAGGGCCCGGGCTCCGGAGTGGGCAAAAGAAGGTGATGAAGTGTCCGCCCTGTGCCCCCAGCTGCAGTCAGAGGAGCTGGGCCTGCGGGCGCCACAGTGGGTCCGGGACAACATGGTGACCATGTGCATGCGCTGCCAGGAGCCCTTCAACGCCCTGACGCGCCGCCGCCACCACTGCCGGGCTTGCGGCTACGTAAGTGCCCCTGCCAGCACCCCTCCCTGCCAACTAGCCCGCTCCAACCAGTGCAGCCCAGAGGGGCTGGCATGAGGTGCGCCAGGCGTGGGAGGGGCCTGTCTGGACCTCACAGTGCCCACCGGTGAAGCAGGACCCGCATCCTCCCCCTAAACTATGTGCTCAGGACACTCCCCAAAGTGACCCTATTAACTCACCTGCTCCCTTACCATTTCCCGAGGCCCCCAGACCCGGCACCGGGACATGGTCTCCAGTGTCAGGGGGAGGGGCATGCAAGCCCCAGCCCTTCTCCGGCCTTGCACCCACCTCGTCAGCCCCACGCCTGTAACAACGCCCTCGTCCTCTCCTCATGACTCGCCTCACTAGCTGTCCTCTCCTCTCCGCTCCTTCCAAGCCCTCAGCACTGCAGCATCTGAGTTCTGTAGCTAACTCTCCCGCCCAGCTCCGGCCTCAGCTTCCTCACCTGTGCAGTGGGGATGATCATGCCTGCCTCCAGGGCGGTAGTGAGGCCTGGGCTAAGGAAGGTGCCCCTTCCCTCTCCTCCTCCTTTCCTCCCTCCTCCAGGGCTCAGGCCCCTCAGAGGAGGAGTCACAGGCGAAGGAGGAAGGGGCCTGGCCCTCCAGGCAGAGCTCACCGGCTGTGTGACACCTGCCGCACTGAGCTGCTCTCTGCTGACATCACAGCCAGCCCCCACTTCTCTCTGCAAACAGAGAAGCGGACCTTAGTCTTAATGAACTCTGGGGATGGGGACCGGAGGCCAGCTGGGCAGGCTGGCTCAGGGAGGTGTCCCCGAATGGTGTTAAAGTGCAATCAGAACACAGAGCGAATGTCTAGGACTGGGACACACCTATGTGGAGATTGAAGAGAGTTACATCCCGGATCCGGGGATTAGCTGCTGTTCTCGGTGATTCACGTCTGTAAATAAGACTTGAGTCCATTCACACTTGGGATGTAGTAAGTAGTTCCTAAAAAAATATTTAAAGTAGTTAAGAAGTACAAACAGGCACGAAGGATAATATAACAACCCGGGAGGCAGGTACATGGGAGCAATAAAATATTCTGACAACGAAATGAAATGTACGATCCTGGATCCTGGATCAGAAACAGAAGCAGTCCCGGAGGTGGTTGCTGGGACACGGAGGGGCGGGGCTTGCTGGGAGCCGCACCTACATAATGACATTGTGTCCATGTGAAACCTGGCAGTGAGTGTAGGCAGGAGCGTGCTCTAGCTCCTGGGAGATCCCAGCTGCATAATTAAGGGTGAGGCGTCACGATGACTATAATTTACATTCAAATGGTTCAGAAAAAATAAAACACACATATACAGAGAGAGGTAACACAGATGTGGCAAAAATGTTAACAGTTGGGGAATGGGTGGTGGGGGAGTATCATTGAATTATTCTTTCACCTTGGCTGCAGGTTTGAAGTTTTTCAAAATGAAAAGTTGGAGGAGGAGAAAAGATATACACACTAATAACATTTAACAATTAAATCCCAATAAAAATAAAATACTCCCAAGGTAGTCGAAGCCCCCAGTGTGCGGATGTGAGGTGCCCTTGGCCCGGCGAGGGTTCCTCCCGCCTGGGATACCTTTGTACTGCGTGAGTCATCCTCTCGGTGGTTGGGTGCCCAGTTTCTGTCTCCCGCCTGCCAGACGGGAATCCTGGCGAGGGCGGGGCCCTCCGGCCCCCGCTGAGCTGGGCACACCCCGGGGCTCACTGCGGAATAGCCCTCTCCTCTCCCCTCTCTCTCTTGCCCTCATTTCCAAGCCCACATCCTGGACACACAGTGGCACCCCAGTCTTCCTGGAAGTCATGTCCTGTAGCACCCCGTGTTTTTTTTCGAGCCTCATCATGCCTCTTTCACCCGGTCGCCCCAGGCCTGATCCACGTGGCCTTCTTGGGGCCTCTCCGTGGTGGAGTAACCAGGGCAGGTCTTCCTGGCAAAACAACCAGCCGTCATTTTTGTACTGGAACAGGCTTGGTTTCTGGGATTGAGCGGAATGCAAAATTTGCATGAATCTTACATCTAAACTGCGGAAGGACATGTCCTGTTGGTGGAGGGCCAGTTGCAGCCAGTGAGCTGTGCGGCCCTGGCAAGTGGCCGCCCCTCTGGCTGCCCCGAGTTCCCTGTGAGGCGAGGACAGAGGCCCCGCCTGGCTGCTGGGAGAGGGAGTGGGATGGTGGAGGGGACTGAGAGCACCGGGAGAAGGGAATCAGGTACAGGAGTGCAGGGAAGCGCTGGGATTGACAGCTGCCTGCACTCAGGGCATCTGGAGGGGAGAGAAGCCCGGCACCCGGCACCAGCAGAGGCACCCGGCGTCAGCCCCCGGCTGGGGAGGCCCAGACTGGGCTCTCCTCCTGCTGCGGGGTGCGGGCAGCAGGCTCTCTGCCCGCGCAGGGATGCCCCTCTGCCTGCCTTCCTCTCTGAGCCTTGCCTTTCTTCCTCCTGCCCCTCCCCAGCTACTCTCACCCCCTCCCCCACTCCCAGCCAAGGTATACCACATGGTCCTCCCGCCTCACCCAAGGCCACGGCCCCCCGCCCTCCTCCCTCAGGTGGTGTGCGCCAGGTGCTCCGACTACCGGGCTGAGCTCAAATATGACGCCAACAGGCCCAACCGCGTCTGCCTCCGCTGCTACACTTTCCTCACCGGCCACGTGCTCCCTGAGGACAAGGAGGACAAGAGGCGGGGCATCCTGGAGGTGAGGGCGCCATCCTCCGTGCGGCCAAGGGCTGCGGGGGCTGCCACGAGAGGGCACTGTCCTGGGTGCGGAGGAAAGGCCCGCCTGGCCACAATCTCCCTCCTCCCTCTGCCCACAACACCCCCTCCTACCCCTCCTCCAGCAACCTGCTGTCCCCACAGGAAAGCAGCTTTGGGTCCAGGCTGTCGCCCAGGCCCTGCCACCTTCCCTGTGTCCCCATCCAGTGACCGCACAGCCTCTCCCGACAGTCCCTGTTCACGTCCCCAGCAGATGAAGAGAGCGGGGGTACCGATTCCATTTTACAGATGGGGAAACCGAGGCTCCAGGTCAGGGTCTCACTGCTGGGAAGAGGCAGATGGGAGACTCCATTCTAACCAGAAGGGACTCAGGGACCTGTCTCAGGGGAACCCAGGCCCCGAGCAGCGACTTGCCGGCGGTCACCCAGCGAGTTAGGAGCCAGCGCCATGGCCTCCCCACAGCCGTCCTCGCGGCTGCCCTTGGGCCTGGCTGAGCGGCTCACCCCCCAGGCCCTCCCAGCTGCTCCCTCGCTGCTGGGCAGCACCTGTGGGCGCCAGCTGGATTCAGCTTCGTGCTACAAACACAGTGTGACCCGGCCTGGCACAGTGTGCCCTCTGCCCCCCTCACTAGAGGCCAGTGGGCATCCCACTGCCCCTGGGAGGGGAGAAGACCAGCCTATTCCAGCCAATCACAGCTCCCGGGCTTCCAGCTGGTTCCTTTCCGTGGGCATCTGCCTGCCTTCCAATCCTCCCCACTGTGCTAGGTCCAGCCCCCGTCACGCCCTCGCTGACCATTAGGCAACACAGGCTGACCAGGGTTTGACCAGCTCTGCCACTGGCCAGCTGGTGACCACAGGCCCATGATGGCACCTCTCTGAGCCTCAGGGACCAAGAACTGCCCTGCAGGGTGGCTGCAGGACCGGAAACAGTGACTGTCCAGCTCCCAGAGCGACGCAGTCACACAGCGGGCTCTGTCCTCTGGTTGTAGAAAGGGTCCACGGCGGGGGCCGAGCGGAGCCTCATGAGCAGCTTCCTGCAGCTCGCCGGGGACAAGTGGGGCAAGAGCAGCACCCGGGGCTGGTGTGTGATCCCCCGGGACGACCCCCTCGTGCTCTACATCTATGCGGCCCCCCAGGTAATGCCCCGCCTGCGCCCAGGCCTTGGCCTTCTCACAGCATGTGGGGTGGGGGAGGGGATATTGTTGGCCCCATACCTCAGATTTGGAGACTGAGGCCCAATGCGGACATAGTTCTCTGGAGCCACAGGATTAGTGGCTTCCAAGGCTGGGCCCAGACTCCAGGGCACAACTGCTTTGTCCTCAAGGGGCAGCCAATTCTCCTGTCCCCTGATGCCCTCCCGCCAGCCCTCCTCCCTCCCGGGTCTGTGGGCAGTGGGGGCAGGTGTGTGACTGTCTGAGGCAGCGGGGCTGAATGGGAGGACAGCGGCTCACGGCTCTCTCCTCCCTCCCAGGACATCCGGGCTCACACCTCCATCCCCCTGCTGGGCTACCAGGTGACCACGGGGCCCCAGGGGGACCCCCGAGTCTTCCAGCTGCAGCAGTCCGGCCAGCTGTACACCTTCAAGGCCGACACCGAGGAGCTGCGGGGCCGCTGGGTGAAAGCCGTGGAGCGGGCGGCCAGCGGCTGGAGCCCTGGCGACCCCGAGGACGGAGACCTGTCTGACTGAGCCCAGCGGCCGCTCTCCCGCTCAGGGCCTGGCTCCTGCCACGGCTGCCCCGGGGCCTCTGACCACCACCCCACACTGAGCCCAGTCGCTCTCTAGTTACCGGTGCCCAGGCCGTGTGTCCCGATTTGGTGACCGAGCCTCCGGTTTGCCCAGCCCTGAGGGGGATCCCGGGGCATGGGCCTTTCAGTGGTAAAGCCGGAATGTCCGAGGTCACCCGGGCGGCTGGTCACCAGTGTGGTTCTCACCTTGGGCTGCACGTTAGTATCACCTGGGGTCTTTCAAACAGACCCCTAGAAATAGAAAAATAAACTAAAAATTGGAAATGCCACCGCCTGTAGCCGTCCCCAAAGGCTTCTGACTTCCTTGGTCTGGGGTGGGAGGCACGGGTGTGTTTCAGGAGCACCCACGGGAGTCTCACGTGCAGCCTGGCCTCCCTGATGGGGCGGAGAGAGAGCAAGGCCCCTGGCTGAGCACCTATCGAGTGCCAGGTGTGATGGTCAGCAGCAGCAGCAGCACCATCACCACCATCGTCAGCACCATCATCCCATCATCAGCACCTGCTGGGCCAGGCCCTGTGCTGGGAGCCTGACATGGATGCTCTCCTTTCACCCTCAGGAGTAATCACCCCATTTTCCAGGTGGGACACTGAGCCTTGGGGCGGTTTCATCCCTGGCTCAGGCTCACACAGCCGGTGGGTGCCAGGGCCAGGCTGTAGCCTGCTGCACGCAGATCAAGGCTCTCCCAGGCAGCAGAGCAATAGAGCAAAGCCAAGCGGGGAAGACAGGAGGGGCGAGGTGGGTGGAAGAGGGGAGGCAGGCACCTCTCTTAGGCCCCCTGGCTGGGGGGTGAGGCTGCTTTTTCATAAGGAGCCACTAGGGGGTGGCAGTGGTCAGCAGGCCACCTGCAGCGGCCCCGGCCTGGGCCCGGACACCCTCAGCCACTTCCACCAGGTCAGATGCTGCCAGCTCCTGCCCTTGAGGATGGCCGACAGTCAAGTCGTAGATCTTTGCCATTTCCAGGCCCAGCACTCTGCCTGCTCCCAACCGGAGGCTGCCTGCCTCCTGGAGGGTGTTTTAAAAGCCCCAGAACGCCTCTGGGGACCAGGCTGGCCACAGGCCCCTCCCCTCATTCAACAGTCTCTGTGGAGCATCTTCTGTGAGCCCAACGCGGCTGCTGTACTGGGGATGCAGCAGTCAACGAGGCAGACGAAAAGTTCTGCCTTCGTGGAGTGTAGCTTCTAGTCGGGGAGCTAATCAACAGCATATCCGGTGTGACAAGTGCTTACATATGGTGACGAACCATCCTGGACTTTCCTAGTTTTACAACCCAAAGTCTCAAGTCCCAGGAAGCCCCGCAGCTCCAGACAAACCAGTTTGGTTGGCCTCCCTCGTGGAAGAAGAAAAAGTAAAAGGGGAATGAGGGAGAATGGTGCGTGTGCATGTGCGTGTTAAAAAGGAATATCAAGGAAGGCCTCACTGAGAAGTTAATGTTTGAAAACAACCTCAAGGAAGGAAATAAGGGAGGGAGCTGTGCAGACATCTGGGGGAAGAGCATTCCAGGCGGTGGGAACAGCCAGTGCAAAGGGCCTGAGGCAGGAGCCTGCCTGGTGTGTGCAAAGAACAGTGAGGAGGTGTGTGGCTGGAGCAGAGTAGACAAGAAGGAGATGGTAGATGTTAGATGATCCCTAAGCCAAGGTTGGGGTCCGGGGAGGCAGATGGGAGGCCTTCAGAGGGCTGGGCGAGAGGGGAGTCATTGGAGGGGTCTGGTTTGTTTGAACAAACCCTCCTCCTGCTTGTTGCAATAAACCAGTGATGGCGAACCTTTTGAGCTCGGCGTGTCAGTGTTTTGAAAAACCCTAACTTAACTCTGGTGCCGTGTCACATATAGAAATTTTTTGATATTTGCAACCATAGTAAAACAGAGACTTATATTTTTGATATTTATTTTATATATTTAAATGCCATTTAACAAAGAAAAATCAACCAAAAAAATGAGTTTGTGTGTCACCTCTGACACGCGTGTCATAGGTTCACCATCACTGCAATAGACCAAGGCGGCGAGCATGGAAGCAGTTTGCAGGCTGTTGCAAGGATCCCAGTGAGAGAGGTGGTGGCTTACGTCAGGGTTGGAGCGGTGGTGGGGAGGGACAGCCTTCTGGATTGATTGTGGAGGTGGATGGAAGAGACTCCCCACAGAGTGGATGGTGGGAGAGAGGAGGAGCCAGCGCCGCCCCCGGGCCCTCTGACCGAGACGTGGGGGACGGAGCTGCCACTGACCCGAGGTGAGAGACTGGGGGGGGGAGGGGGGACAGAAGGGGAGCAGCACATCCATCCAGAGCTCTGCCGTGACGTGACACTCACATCCGAGGTGCCCTCACGGTCACGGCCAGCGGTGGGTATCTGGGCTCAGGCGCCAGGTCTGGGCTGGGGTGTAGATGTGGGAGCCGTCATCCCAGAGATGGGGTTTAAAGTGTGCGTGAGACTAAAGGAAGAGGTCCAAGGACTGAGCCCTGCACACCCCAACATTCTAGCTACACACTCCACAACATTCTAGCTACACGCACCCCAACATTCTAACTGCTCTCACCCCCACATTCTAGGTAACTCACCCGAACATTCTAACTATACTCACCCCGATATTCTAGCTGCACTCACCCTGACATTCTAACTAGACACTCACCAACATTCTAGCTCATGCACCCCGACATTCTAACTGCACTCACCCCAACATTCTAGGTAACTCACCCCAATATTCTAACTACACACTCCCCAACATTCTAACTCTGTGCACCCTGACATTCTAACTACATGCACCCCGACATTCTAACTGCACTCCCCCAACATTCTAGGTAACTCACCCCAATATTCTAACTACACACTCCCCAACATTCTAACTCTGTGCACCCTGACATTCTAACTACATGCACCCCGACATTCTAACTGCACTCACCCCGATATTCTAGCTGCACACCCCCTGACATTCTAAATACATGCACCCCTATATTCTAGCTACACTCACCCCAACATTCTACTTTTATGAAAAAGAAAATGGAATTTATTTAAGGAAAAGTGGACGGGGGATGGGACTATCCAAAGCGAAGGGCTACACAGCACTGGGCCAAAGGGTAACGGGTCCAGGATGGCAGCAAAGATACACTTGGGACAGTGACACAGGGACAGCCCAGAAGAAGCAACAGGAGAGCGTAGGCGGGGCTGCTCTCGCTCACTGAGAGGTCAGAGGAAAGGGCCTTGGAGACAGGTGCAGGGGTTGGCCTGGGGCGAGCTACCGCTGCCCGTGGCTCCCCTGGTTGCAAGTCTCATGGGGTCCCTTAGAGGTTGGGAGGTACGTGCCTGTGGGGGGATGGCACAGACATGCTCATTGGAGGGGGAGTGTGCCTCACCCCGACATTCTAACTGCACACACCCCCACATTCTAACTGCACTCACCCCGACATTCTGACCCTGAGAATTTACCCCGAGGAGACAGGCCAGTGTGACAAGACAGGAGAACGTGTAGAAACAAAACAGAAGGAAGACACACCAAGCCCGGAGCCCTTGTGTAGTGTGCATAGTCCCGCACACGGAAAGGGCTGCGTGGGCGGCCGCAGGTGGCCACCCACCTGCCAGCTGAGGACATCCGGGTTATTCACAGGGCGGGCAGTGATGAATAACGCCGCTCTGAACTATCAGCATTCGTGCTCAGGTTTTGCGTGAGCACACATTTTTACTTCTCCCGGGTAAGTACCTAGAACTGGACCACGAGGTCTTATGGCAAGCACAGGATTAACTTTCTCGGAAACTGCCAAGCTGTCTTCTAGGGGGGCTGTGCCATTTGCATTCGCATCAGCAATGATGAGCATTCCCATTGCCCGAATCCTTGCCAGCATTTGGCACGGTCGGGGTTTTGGTTGTTATATTTGTTTTTAATTTTAGCCATTCTGGTGGATGTGTACTGCTTACAGCCTTTTAAAAGTTTATGACTGGCCTTGGCTGGTGTGTTCAGTGGTTAGAGTGTTGGCCCATGCCCCCAAAGGGTCATGGGTTCGATTCCCAGTCAAGGGCATGTATCCTGCAGGTTCGATCCCAGTGGGCTTGTGCGGGAGGCAACCAATCCATGTGTCTCTCTCACATCAATCTCTCTCCCTCTTTCTCTCTCCCCTCCTGCTCTCCCCTCCACTCTCTCTAAAAATGGGAAAAAATACCCTCGGGTGAGGATTAACAATAACAAAACGTTTATGACTGTATCAAAACATCACATTGTACACGTTTAATCCATACAATTTTTATTGCTCAATTATAGCTCAATAAAGTTGCGGGGAGAGTCTATGAATGTAAAGAAATAGGGGCCCTTAGTAGGAAATCTTCTGTAAACTCACAATCATGTGAGCACCCACTGTGTGTCAGGCAGTATCTTAATCCTCCCAAAGTCCTTCGGGGAAGGCACCCATGATCACATCCCCGCTCTGCTGTGGGCACTGAGCAGTCACTCAGCCTCTCTCAGCCTCCAGGTAGTTATTGTAAACAGAGGAAATGCCCCTTGTGGGAAAAGGAACAAGGTAACTAGGGAGAGCTCCCCGCCCCCAGGAGGGGCTGAACCGCCTGGAGTCCTTAGCTACGTTAGTCCTCCATGTAGCTGCGTTCCTGGATAGTGTGTTCCAGCAGCCAGTGTGGCTGCTTCTACCTTCAGGGTGTACCACATGGAGCCTTTCTTCACACCTCACACCCCTCACAGACCACCCCTCTGTCCAAGCCACCATCATCTCGCTCCCCTCCCTCTTCCCTTCCCCGTCCTGCTCACCACATCCCCCCCTCTCCCCTCCCCATCCTTCTCCTCCTCACCCCTCCCTTCCCTCTCCCCCTGCTTCTACACTCGCCCCCTGGTGGTCCTTCTGCAAACAGCCCCCAAGGAGTTCTTTTCAGCCCAGCGGTGGGGCTCCATTTGCTGAGTGGGGTCCCATGCACCAGAGATCACAGATCAGATGCAGGTCAGGCACATGCCGGGGTTGCAGGCTGGATCCCCTGTAGGAGGCATGCAGGAGACAGTCGATCGATGTTTCTCTCTCATCGCTGTTTCTATCTCTCTCTCTTTTTCTCTCTCTGAAAAATATCACTACAAACATATTTTTAAAAATAAAGGAGTTCTTTAAAAAAAATTTTTTTTTAATTTTATTGATTTCAGAGAGGAAGGGAGAGGGAGAGAGAGATAGAAACATCAATGATGAGAGCGAATCATTGATCAGCTGCCTCCTGCACACCCCCTACTGGGGATGGAGTCTGAAACCTGGGCATGTGCCCTTGACCGGAATAGAACCTGGGACCCTTCAGTCCA